AGACTGAATTATCCCCAAATTACAAGGAGGAAAGCTGAGTTTCAAAGATGTACAGGAAACTGCTCAAGCTGCACATCTAACAGCACAACTGAAGCAAGAATCTGGGTTTCTTACAAAAGTAAAAATAAACTATTGGGACCTCATCAAAATAAAAAGCTTTTGCATAGCAAAGGAAATAATCAACAAAACTAAAAGGCAACCTACAGAATGGGAAAAGATATTTTCAAATGGCATATCTGAGAAAGGGTTAGTATCCAAAATATATAAAGAGCTTATAAAACTCAACACCCAAAAAACAAATAATCCAGTTAAAAAATGAGCAGAAGACATGGATGGACATTTTTCCAAAGAAGACATACAGATGGCCAACAGACACATGAAAAAGTGCTCAATATCACTGATCGTTGGAGAAATGCACATCAAAACTACAATGAGATAGCACCTCACACCTGTCAGAATGGCTAAAATTAATAACACAGGAAACCACAGGTTTTGGCAAGGATGTGGAGAAAGGGGAACCCCCTTGCATTGTTGGTAGGAATGCAAACTGGTACAGTCATTCTGGAAAACAGTATGGAGGTTCCTCAAAGAGTTCATAGTAGAACCACACTATAATCCAGCAAATGCACTACTAGGTAGTTACACAAAGGATACAAAATTACTAATTGAAAGGGATACATGCATCCTGATGTTTATAACAGCATTATCAATAATAGACAAACTATGAAGAGAGCCCAAATGTTCATCAACTGATGAATGGATAAAGAGGATGTGGGGAGGGTGCCTGCATGACTCATTCGGTTAAGTGTCTGCCTTCGGCTCACATCATGATCCCAGGGTCCTGGGATTGAGCCCTCTGTCAGGCTCCCTGCTTGGTGGGGTGTCTGCTGCTCCCTCTCCCTCTGCCTGCCACTCTCCCTGCTCATGCGCTCTCTCTCTCTCTAAAAAAAAAAAAAAAAAAAGAGGATGTGGTGTGCGTATATAATGGAATATTACCCATCCATGAAAAAGAATGAAATCCAGCCATTTGCAATGATGTGGATAGGGCTAGAGAGTATTATGCTACATGAAATAAATCAGTCAGAGAAAGACAAATAACATATGATTTCATTCATAAGTGGAATTTAAGAAATAAATGAACATGGGGTAAAAAAAGAGAGAGGCAAGCCAAGAAACAGACTCTTAACTATAGAGAACAAACTGATGGCTACAGGAGGGGAGGTGAGTGAGAGGATGGGTTAAATAGGTGATGGGTATTAAGGAGGGCACTTGTGATGATCACTGGGTGTTGTATGTTAGTGATGAATCACTAAATTCTACATCTGAAACTAATATTGCACTGTATTTTAACTAGCTGGAATTTAAATAAAAACTTGGGGAAAAAAGGATCTGGGTTTCTTAGATTCCACACTGAATTTTAATCTGCTTAATAAAAGGTAGGCCTGGCTTGGACAGAACCACCGTAAGCACCCTTGATTATTCATCCTAGGACTGAAAAGCTCACACAACAATGGGACTTCCAGGTAGGGAATGGGTTGGTTCAATGATCTACAAAGGTGTCCAGTTGGTATGGAGTTCAGGAGAAACTGTTTTTCCACCTACTATACTTTCATGTTATATGCCAAATAACCTAGGGATGATGTTCTTAAGGAGCTACTGAATCTCAGCTCCCAATGAGTCTGGATAAAGCAGGCAATTGTCCCATAACATGAAGGTACAGTATCCCAGAAAACCACCCATCTACCTACCAACTACATCAACACTAATGAAGATTCAATAGTTCAGTGTGATTCCTCTCAATGTCCTACCTAGACATGTCAGAGTTTAAATAAATTCTAGAGGGTGCTTCAGAGATGGAGAAAATAAAAGCCCATGATCATATACCTAATGGTTGGGAGAGCTATGACTAGAACTCAGGTCTCTTATTTCTTAATATTGTTAGTACCATTTCCATAAGACCATTCTACCCTCAACAAAAATCAATGTAGAAGAATGGAGATAGTGATTTTATTTTAAAAATATCTACTAGGAAAGAGCCTACATAACCTCCATCATTCAAAACCTTGAGTATCACAGAATTTTACCAGAAATGTAAACCTAAACATAAATACTCATTAAGGAGAGTTGAAAGGTCTACCTGTGAGACAATATTCATGTCATTCATGCAACAGCCTGACTCCATTTCCTTTTACTGGGGATACCACAACAGCTGGCCCCTAAGGTTCTATGGTACTCCCCTGTAGAGATGTGAAGGTCATTCAACTATTATTAAACAAAGGTTCACAATGATCAAATGCTCATTCTGAATACAATTTCAGGCAACATGCAATGCTATCTTAGTTTCTCAAAGAATAAACATTGGTATAGGAGACGGATTTGATCTCTAAGTTATGATTTGGGCCCTGTCATTAACGGTCCTGATCTATTATCACAGTCCTCAGTCTAGACTTGCGCTATCTAATACAGTAGCAACTAGCCACATGTGGCTAATCAACACATGAAGTGTGACTAATATGAATGAAGATGTGCTGTCAGTACAGAATACACTCCAGATTTCAAATACTTAGAAAAAATATATTATTAATAATGTTCATAGTGATAATATATGGTGTTATATGATAATATTTTAGATACATTGGGTTAAGAAAAATATATTAAAATTAATTTCACCTGTATTTTTTTTACTTTTTTTTTTTTTTTACTGTGGCTATTAGAAAAATTTAAATTATATTTGTGGCTCACATTATATTTCTACTGGACTGTGCTGGTATAGACCAGTGGTTATTAACACCAAAGATTGTGATTTAACTAGCTTGGAGACTGAGTTTTGATGGATTTTTTTTAAGCTGCCCAAGTGATTTATTTCATCATGCAGCCAAGACTGAAAACCACTGGGCTAGACTCCATACCATGCATGCCTGAGTCAGCCAGTAGCCTTCTCAAAGGTCAGCTTCAGTCCATGCAAGTGGCTGCTGGGACCGTGTGCTTAGAGGAACACTTTTCCTGACCCTGCACGTAGAAGCATAAATGCCAGTTCATTAATAAGCTAAAGCCTGGCTTTGCTTTTTGCCTCCCTGAGTCATTCTGCCTTGCTCCATCATTTTGCCCCATCCCTTGATTTACTGTTTATTATAAAAATGATATTTTGGGGCACCTGGGTGGCTCAGTTGGTTAAGTGTCTACCTTTGACTCAGGTCATGATCCCAGGGTCCTGGGATCCCTGCTCAGCGGGAGCCTGCTTCTCCCCCACCCTCTGCTGCTTTCCCTGCTTGTATTCTCTCTCTGTCAAATAAATAAATAAAATATTTTTTAAAAATGACATTTCACAGAAAGTGAAATACCTTTGAATTGGGGTGACACTGGGTGCAGTTTAGTCCTTCCTTTAAAGAAGGATCTGTTAGCCGAAGATACACAAGCTATTTCTTTACAGGACCTCACACTCATCCCAAAAGGCATGGTTCTGCTTCTGAGTACTGTCCTCACCTAAATCATTCCAACCAGATAACAGTGTTTCCTGGGTTTACAGCCCTCCAAGGAAGGAGGCCTCTTTTAACCATTAAGGCCAGCCTTGATACATACACATTTTGGGGCTAATAAGGTGGTGGTGGTGGTGATAATGAGGATGATGATGATGATGATGATGATAAAGCAAGTTACCATTTGCCAAGTACCTACCGTGTGGCAAGCACTGCGCTAAACACTTTACTCCCTTATGTGATTTCATTTAATCATCATAAAACGTCTGTTATCCCTATTTTTCAAATGAGGAAATCAAGGTTCAGGGAATTAAGTCTTGCCAAAAGCCATGGAGTTGGGAGGTAGTAAAGCTGAAATTGCATTTCAGGTTGTCTGATTTCAAATAAACTGCTTCTTCACAATATTATCATTGTAGTCTTGAGGCCCTTCACCTCCAAGAGCCCAAACCACTCTCATCTTTTGTTTGACATCAGGTATCTTACAGAAGAAACCGACAAAAGGTGATAGGCTATGGTAAGTATGATCAGAAGATATTCTGATGTAGCCTGGGTACTTATACTGCTACAAAGTTGTTTCCATGTACATTATCAGATTCATTATGATATTCACTAGCATAAAAGAATTATCAACACCATTTTGTGGATGGGGAAAATCAGAGCTCACAAATACCAAAGAAGAGATTCTAGCTCATAATGCCCAAGAGCTGGGACTCCAGGCCAGAGCTCTTACCCCATAGCATCTTGCCAATTGGTAACCCAGAGGAAGCAGAAACTGCTAAGGAGCCCTTTCTCAAGAGGCCCTTTCATTAACGGCCAGGTTCTTCATGGCACAATGTCAAAAGGGCCAAGGTCTTACAAGCACTATCAAGCTGCCTGCTTCCCACCCTCAGCACATCTTAGATCCCAGCCACCTGACTCAATGTAAAATCTGCAATCAGTAAACTGTAGCTCCTGAGAGGGTAGGGAGCCCACACTCTTACATTAACAGCTGAAGACAACACACAGGGCTGTTCACACTTCCCTAAATAAGAGAAAGAAGGCAAAGGAGGCAGAGAGGAGTGAGGAAGGGAGGGGACGGGAAGAGAGGGATCTATAAAAAGAAAGAACAAAAGAGGGGAAACAAGGAAAATAATAAAAGCAGGAAAGAAGAGAGGTAAGAAACGTAAGTTCGCAGCAATATAGAGTTAAAAGAGTCTTCAAAAACCATCTAGACCAAAAGGGAAGTGATTTGTACAAAGTCACAACAGGTAGGAGGCAGGAGGCAGGAGGCAGACAGAATATGGGGATTGGTAAAATAAACAAGGGGAAAAATGAAAAGACTCAAAATTAGAAGGGGAAAGATTAAAGGAGGCCCATGTCCTGGGTAAAAGACCAAAAAGGGGGAGGGTATATGTGAGAGGAGCCACCAGGAGAGAAATGAGCAGAAGAACAAAGGCTGGTGAGGGGAAAGCCAGGGGCAGGTAGCCAAGGAGACAAGAGAGGAAAGTGAAGGCTGAGAAGAGGAGAGTGAAGGCTGACACTCACCCTCACAAAGCTGGCAGGAAACCATCCCTCCTCATCGTCGATCTGGCCCCACCACCAATCCTTGTTGGAAGCATCCAAGACTTTGATGACGTCGCCAGCCTTAAATGCCAACTCCCGGTTGGCCATGGTGACGTGATCCCATACTGCCTCAGCACTAACGATGGAATCTCCAGTGATCAGCTTAGGAGACAAAATGAGAATGTGTTCAGTCCACACAGCTGGCTACCTTACTTGCCCCTTACCCCACCCACAGAACTCTACTAGTTATGGAAAAACTGACATACTAGTGGTGAAGGGTTGGGGAGAGGGAGATGGCACTAGGAGCACAAGCTCCACTGGACCACAAGACAAACAATACTTGTCAACTCTCCATTAGATAGTGGGTGGAATGGCCCAGAATGTGAATATGGACTACACAGGCCTCATGCTTTTATTCCTACTCATGAGCTTTTTCCCCAGAGAAGAAAGAAATTTCCAGTGCATCTTCCTTTGGTGCTTCAAGGCAGCCCTGGGTCTGGAATGGGTGAAGAGGTTGAAATCAAAGACTAAAATGAAGCTCAAACATATTTGCTCTAAATTTTCTGTGTTCCTCCCCTTTACTTACTCCTCCTTGGAACTGACCAATTGAGAGTTTGTGGTATATTATTTAACACCACTGTACCCCACCCCCATGGGTTACAGACCATGGCATTCCTCACACACAATGGACTCCAGTCCTGCAGCCTCCTGTTCTCACCCACACATGATGCTATCCAGAGAGGTCATGGGTATGAAAGAATATGGCTTTCTGTGATGGCTTGCTTCCATGAAACTCAGCCTTGGCACAGATTCACTCAGTGATTTGTTACCGCCACCCTGTGAGATACATAAGGAGTCTAGGTTGAATCCTCCATTTGATAGATGGCATAACTGAGCCACAGTGAAGTTAAGGGGTGAGCTCAGGATCATCCAGCAAGGCAGGGGCTGTGCAAAGACCTTAACCCTGGTCATTAAACTTTGTGGCAAGTAGGACTACGCTACACACAACAACAGGATGATATCTATCCCAGTGCCACATCACACACACACACACACACACACACACACACACACACACTCACACACTCACAACACTTGTCTAAGCACAATGATGGAGATGAGGGTGGAGGAAGAGTCTGCCTCTCTTTCTGGTTGCCATCCTGACCCCTGTGTTGTTTGTTCTCCTTTTTCCCCAACTGGTTCCAGCCTATATGGGCCATCAATCTTCCTGGCATTCGGAGAAACAGATCCCAGAACAAAGAACATATGGCCTGTCAAGGCAAAAGATTCAAGAACACTTTCTCTAGCATTAAATTTCTGAACATGTTCTCTAGAAGTCAATTTTTCTATCAGTCTGCTTTGAGGAGGGACTGATTCCCCAAGGTAACTGTAGCTCCACAAGACCAAAGACAAAACAGTTCAAAGATAACAGAGACAGAATATGGAACATGCATCCTCTCACATAGGACTGCCTTTCAATATACCAACTGGAGAATAACATTATGGTCATGAAATTAACACATAACACATTACATACATATGAAAACACACCCACATACTGATCTTTTGACTTAGTTAAGTAATTCTGTTGGTCAGGTAAGGCATACTGGGAGCTCCTCAGCATGGATGCAAATGAGATTTCCAATAGGACCTTTTATAACACCACCTTTCAAGTACCTCATGCTTTACTATTTATAAAGTATTTTCATATCTACTGCACCACTTGATCCTTACTGAATGACTAGGTCTCACTATTACCCATATTTTAAAGATAAGGAATCTGAGGCTCAGATAGGTGACCTATCCTTTGTTCAATCATACAAGTAATAAATTATGGAGTCTGGCATTCTGAGAGCATATGCTCTAATACCCATCATACCATACTAACAATGTCTATTCATTAGCTACACTGAACTCATAGAACTCCATCCATAATATCAGAAACCAGATGACTCCTATTCGTAAAGAACTACAAAGAAAGAGGTATGGACAGCCACCTTTAGTCACCAGTGGCCCTGCCTATGAAAAGTTGTTTTGTTTTATGTTGAGCCTGCTTTCTTCCAATTGCACTAAAAGTCAATTTCTTCTTGTTCTAGCCTCAGTGGAGAATTGCTGGTCACTGGCCTTAACAGAATAAATCTTCATAAAGAAAATCTCCCTCTCCTGCCAAGTATGGGTTCCAACTGGTGTTGTTAGAGCTCAATAAGCACATACAGCCCCAACTCAAAGCACCATGAAGGCTTGTGGCTTAAAGCTGTATCTTGGCTTTTTACCAAAGGTCAAGCATATCTTGGTATCAATTACTAGTCCTCTGCTCAGGATGCTATCTGTGATACTGTCTGAGGTACCCTAGGCCCAGGTCTGGCTGATTCCACTGCCTGTGCTCTTTCTACAGTGCAGTCATCTTTTTAGCAACTTCATGTTTGGCTTTTCCCAGCAGCAGTTGGCTCACTCTTGTCCCCATTTAGTCCAGTGGACCTGCCTGGGCCCTCAGATCACAGAGCCCAGCTATACCCTAGACAAGGCCAATCTAGGATCCAGTGGCCATAAACCAACTGGTAAGCCTGTTGTCAGGGCCTACTTGGAATCAGAAACAGTCAGAACTAAACAGCATTTCAAAGATCATCACCCTTACGCCTTCATTTTATAGATCAGGTATGATATAGCAGGAGTAACTTGCCTACAGTCATCAGATGGCCAGCCTCCTAGACCACTTTTTTCCCAAAGTAATACCATAGATAGAGAAGGTAGAAAAGAACACCTGGATTTAAGACCTTCCTTTGTTACTTGCTAAAGTTGTAATGATGATGATGTTATTAGCTAATATTAACTAATAACGTCAGGCACTATTCCAAGCACTTTACATACATTAATTCATTAAAGCCTCACAACAGCCCTTTGAAGAAATAGTATTATTATTCCTATCTTATAGATGAGGATATTGAAGCACAGAGAGGTTAAGTAATTTCCCCAAATTTACACAGACAATAAGTATTAAAGACATAATTCAAATGCAGCTACACTATGGCTCTAGAGTATCTGCTCTTATAAACTATGGTGCCACTGGGTCAGTTTCTTTACCTGTTAAACATGAATAATTCTGCATATCCACTTGCTTCATGAATTATAACATACTGAACCAAGAGTTGATGGATATGTGTGCAGACATGAGAGAAGAGTTATTCCAGAAGAGGCTGGTAGCTGTATGGGGCTCCTGTGCTCTCCAGTCACAAATATAAGCAGGAATAAGGGTATGCTACTCGCCCATCCTCTGAGTTGTTTTAAAAGTGAATTAAAACTGGAGGGTATTAGGTTCAGTGAAATAAGTCAGTCAGAGAAAAACAATTATGATATGGCTTCACTCATATGTGGAATATAAGAAATAGTGCAGAGGATCAGAGGGGAAGGGACGGAAAACTGAATGGGAAGAAATCAGAGAGGGAGACAAACCATGAGAGACTCTTGACTCCAGGAAACAAGCTGAGAGTTGTAGAAAGGGAGGTGAGTGGGGAGGATGGGGTAACTGGGTGATGGGCATTAAGGAGGGCACGTGATGTGATGAGCACTGGGTGTTACACACAACTGATGGATTATTGAACACTGCATCTGAAACTAATGAGGTACTATATGTTGGCTAATTAAATTTAAATTAAATAAATAAATAAAAGTGAATTAAATTTGGGCTTGAAATTGGTTTTAAATCTCCCTTTTGTGTATAGAATTGACTTAACTTGCTACAATTTTTGATAAATATGCACTTTGCTCATCTATTTTCCATCCAACCCTCATTCAGTGAGCCACGACTGTATACAGGGATCTTCTTACTATGATTCAGGCACAGTCCTTACTGGAAGAGCAAAGGCACTTCAGGTACTAACAGTGAATGTCCTTCAAGCAGTATGAAAATATGGTTAAGGGCAAGCAAACCTAGCTTCAATTCTGGACTTTCCTAACTTAGAAAGTAGCAGTGACAATGGGAGGTGAGGAATAGAAGAGCCAGAGAAACAAACCAAAATGGAACTTTCAGCATGTAATTAGGATACCAAGAAGTGCAACATCACAAAAGCCAAGGACAGCAGTTTCAAGCTATACAAACTTGGGCCTCAGTTTCTTCATACATAAGATGGGGATAATAATACCTGCCTCACAGGCAGGGTTATAGATAGGGTAAACTGAGCACTAGATGTACAGTGCCTACTACAATGCTTGGTATATGTTGGCTTAGTATAAGACTTCAGAGGAAGGGAGTAATATATGTGGCTACTGGGCTCTAGAATAATTTTGTGGGACACTGAAAGATAGGCTTTAAAGAATGGGTAGGATTGTAACATACAGGAGGGAGAAGGAAAAGCATTTGAGGCAGAGGAATGAGGAATGAGATTAAATAAAATCTCAGAGGTAAAGACTATGGAGAATTTGATAGCAAACAGGTAGTAGAGTTTGGAAAAGGGTGGGAAGAGGGGTTTGGGGGAGCTGGGGAAGGACAGATGGAAAAGTAGCCTGGAGTCCTGTTTGAAGGCTCTTAAATCTAATTTGAGGAAAAGGAGGAAGTCAAAGTTGATTTGGGGGGTGGAGGTGGTATTTCAAGCCAAAGTGTGATGATTAAAGCATGAGGGTAAGTTACATGAAGAAATGCTTGTTTGCTGGGTCATAGGGTAGCTCTATTTTTAATTTTTTGAGGAACCTCCACACTGTTTTCCAAAGTGGTATATCAACTTGCATTCCCACCAACAGTGTAAGAGGGTTCCCCTTTCTCCACAACCTCTCCAACATTCGTTGTTTCTTTCCCTGTCTGCAATAGCCAAGCAATAGCCAAACTGTGGAAAGAGCCGAGATGCCCTTCAACAGATGAATGGATAAAGAAGATGTGGTCCATATATACAATGGAATATTACTCAGCCATCAGAAAGGATGAATACTCAACTTTTACATCAACATGGATGGGACTGGAGGAGACTATGCTAAGTGAAATAAGTCAAGCAGAGAAAGTCAATTATCATATGGTTTCACTTATTTGTGGAACATAAGGAATAGCATGGAGGACATTAGGAGAAGGAAGGGAAAAACGAAGGGGTGGAAATTGGAGGGAGAGATGAACCATGAGAGACTATGGACTCTGAGAAACAAACAGGGTTTTAGAGGGGAGAGAGTGAGGGGATGGGTTAGCCCCGTGATGGGTATTAAGGAGGGCATGTACTGCATGGAGCACTGGGTGTTATATGAAAACAATGGATCGTAGATCACCACATCAAAAACTAATGATGTATTATATGGTGACTAACATAACATAATAAAATAAAATAAAATAATAAAAAATAAAACTTTAAAAAAAAGAAATACTTGTTTGGGAGGAGAAAAAAGAGATGACAAATTTTCTCTTCAATGTGTTGAATATAGGGGGCCAGCAGCATATGCAGGTAGATTTGAAGTTTAAGAGATGTCAGGAGAGATAGTTGTATAGGTTTTGGAGTCAATGGCCCAGAAACTGTAGAAACCAAAGAAGTTTGCCCTGTAAGAAAGTGCTAAGAAAGAAGACCAGAAACCTAGGGAAATAGCAATAATGGGAGGTCAGGAAGAGAAGAGGAGCCAGAGAAACAAACCAAAATGAAGCTTTCAGTACATAATTAGGATACCAAGGAGTGTAATCTCACCAATGTGAAGGACAAGAATTTTAAGTAGCAGGAGCTGATCATGTTATCAAATAGTACAGAGCTACAAAAGGAAAAAAAGCCAAGAAAAGGCCATTTGAGAGTGGTTATATCAGGGGTTAAATTCTTTATATCTTAAACTGTTTTATACTCCTCCTCCCAGCAAAAGCCTTAATTTCCCAATTGTCC